GTGCTCGTGCTAAGTTTAGGGTTAGATTTAATGTTAGGGTGAGAGGGATAAGTTAAAGTCTAGGGCTAGAGCTACCACTAGGTTTATGGCTAAAGTTAGAATTGTGGTAAGTTCCAGGGCTATATTCAGGGTTAGAATTCTATCTAGCATATAGTAAGGTCTAGAACTAGGGTAAGGTGTTTTCCAGAGTTATGGTTAGGATTAAGACTAGGGTTAGGTTTAGAGTAGTTTAGGATTAATGTTAGGGCCAAAGTTAGGGTTAGTGTTAGGGAAAGGGTAAGATTTGAGTAGGGTCAGAGTAAGAGCCAGGGCTAGTATTAGATGTAATCCTAGTATGAGTTAAGATTGGGGTGTTAGGTTTAGTGATACATCTAGTGCTACTTTTAGGACTAGGTTATGTTTAGGGTTGGTTATGTTTAGGATTAGGTTTCAAGCTAGGGGGTAGAGTGAGGTTTAGGGTTACACTAGAATTAGTTTTAGACTTAGTTTTAGGATTATGGATACATCTGTGTGGGCTAGACTAGCATTAGTTCTAGGGCTAGTGCTAGGTGAAGGGGCAAGTTTAGGGTTACAGTAGGGATACATTTAGGTCTAGGGACAAAGCTTTGGTTAGGTTCAGGGCTAGGATTAGGGCTGCGGGCATGAATAGAGTAAATTCTAGAGGTAGGGTTAGGTTTAGATTTAGGGTTAAAGATGCATTGGTGCTAGAATTAGTGAGGGTGGGGGTCAGTGTAAGGTGTAAGTTCCTGGGGGCAGGTGGCAAGAGGATGGAGAAATAAAGCTAAGAGACAGAAAGCAGAGGCCTGGCTGAGCCCTCTCTCTGGATGGGAGGAAAGGAACTGCTCAACCACCATAATGTGTTTATATGTATAATTTCAAAGCTACTCAAGGAAAAGGTAAGACTTCTGAGACAAAGGCACAGTAATTATTTTACTCATATTAAAGAGACAAAACTTTAAAAAGATTCTTTTCATAAATTATACTATCAAGGAAAATTACTTGTCTATTTAAACTGCCACTGAAAGATGTTTTCAAATTTTAATCAGGAATTTTTTTGTGTATATTAAAGTGATTTTTGTTCATCCTTCTACTGTTGTTTTTGTTTTGTTTTGTTTTGTTTTCTTTTGAAACAAGGTCTATGTAGTCCAGGCAGCTCTGAACTTACTACGGAGTCTAGACTGGCCTCAAACTCACTGCCATTATCTTGTCTCAAGTTTTTGGATTACAGGTGTGCACCACTATGCCCAGCTATCTTGTTACGTTTGAGAAACTGTCCACAAAAGAGAATGGAGATGACTCTAGAAAAATATCTTTAAAAATCTCAACATCCACCTTCTCTTTGTTCTATGTTAAAAAAAACCCCTGGGGTCCCACCCAAGCTACCTGAGTTGCTGACACTATAGACAACACCATGCTTGCTTGACCTTGAAAAAAAAACCACAAAACTATCATTTATCTGTCTGACCATTTATCTATCCTCCTATATTACAGAAATAAAGGATTGGTCCAGGGAGATAGCTCAGTGGCATTTGGTGCCTGCTTGGCAAACTGAAGTTTGTGAGTTCAATCCCTGGTTCCTCAAAAAAAAATTATCATTTTTTTCTCCTATTTTTACTTTTTAATTACATGACTAAAGTAATCCTAAGGATGACTGCAACGGATATTCCTAGAATTCTAGTCTTACTAAGACACTTTGAGAAAAAAACTATTAAATGAGAAGAATCTTATTAAAATTTTATTAGCCTCACAACATACATCATTTTATTTTATTTTTATTTATTTTTTCAGAACCGGGGATTGAACTCAGGTCCTTGCGCTTGCCAGGGAAGTGCTTATTCCACTGAGCCATCTCCCCGGCCCCTCCATACATCATTTTAAATAAGCCTCTGACACACTGAAGAAACTTTTTTTTTCAAACCTATTTTTAGTAAGAGGTGAGGTTATAAACAACTAATGGTGCATGGAATTCACTGTGGGAATCACTGAAGACATGTAAGAATGACAAATGCACATTCTACAGAAATGTAAATGTAAATGTAAGCGCTTCCTTGGCAAGCGCAAGGACCTGAGTTCAATCCCTGGTTCTGAAAAAATAAATACATTTCTGTAGTCCATGGCAGCGGTGACCAACCTTTTAGAGACCAGAGTGCCAAACTACAGCCCCAAACCCATTTTTTTATCACAAAGTTGCCATACTGCAATCAGACAATACTGAGGTTTCAGTTTAGAAAAGACAATTCTACATCAACATATTTTGTCTTAAAAAATAAATAATACCCATGCCACAGGTCTACCACCACTGGTCTATTGTTTCAACAGGTCCTCTCCAGAACTGAGATGTTGCCAATGCGATAGTCCCCAGAAGTGGGGCCTTAAGAGGTAATCAGGATAAGAAGACTCCCCCCCAGGAACAGGATTGGCCACTTTATGAAGAAGCTTAATGAAGGAGTTGGTTCTCTCTTGTTCCTCCACCTTGAGTCATGTGAAGACTCAGCAAAAAAGCCTTTGCCAGACATCCATGCTTCCACTGTGGCGTTCCCAGCCACCAGATCTGAGAGTTCTTTTACTTTATTTTTTTCAGAACCAGGGATTGAACTCAGGCCCTTAAGCTTGCCAGGCAAGCACTTACTCTACTGAGCTATCTCCCCGCATCCCAATCAGGACTGAGACATACATGATCCTTTTTCATAAGTTACCCACTCTCAAATACGCTGTTAGAGCAGCACAAATGAACCAAGACAGTTGACTTAATAGGTCAGTTTTCAGTTGAAAAGACTGCAAACAGTATGGCAAACTATTATAACACCATGGTGGTAGTGGTAGTCAGGGCTATAAGATCACTGTACTGAACCTATGGCAGTATTTTAAAATAATTATGAGTTATTAGACTTCATTAGAATATACCTAACAAAGTAAAAAGTGTTGTTAGGTATAATAAAATGAAGTTTATTAAGCATCTATTATTATATCTTATCCATCAGTGTTTTTTACAATTTATTTTGGGAAGATTTCTTATGAAATACAGGATGAACCTGTAAAAATTAATATAATCTTTAAGTAGCTTAGAAATCGAATATAGGTCCCGCTGTCTAGATGCTACCAGCTCAAACAGCCTTACCAGGCCAGTTCTCAGAAAGGCCCATCCCAGCCAGTGCAGCTGTGAGAAGGTACAGATATGATAGAAGGTTTTTTTTTTTTTGGAAGCTCGAAATGCCTTTAGGGCATTTCTCGTTTGCAGTGACTCTCTGGTTTGGAACCCCAGAAGCTTGAGCTTCAGGGCTTTGTTTAAGCAGGCACTTAAACAACTGAGCTGCTGGGCAGGTCCCCAAGGTACAGATATGAAAAGCTCCAGTACTACACGCCAATGAGCCGAAGCTGGCAAAGGCACAGTGGACAGTATTACAACTTCCATTGCTCACTACTATGGAAATAAAGATGTGCATTAGTGACTTCAGGTTGTCATTCATCAACTCTGGGCAACACTAATAACTTTTCTGCTGGATGTTACAATTAATTTACTCAGGATTCAGAAGGCTATTGGTTTATGTGCTAAAATTGAGACAGGATGCTGCCACTCATGTCCTATTTCCCAGGAAGTCTTTTTTCATTAATCTCACCAAACATACCCTTTGCTTCCATTTAATTTTTTTTTTTCTTTTAAAGTTTAACTAAATTGCCACTTGAGAATGTACAAGACCCAATTCAATCTGGGATCTTATTGGGGGGGGGGTCCTTTTGAGACAGGGTCTTCCTATGCAATTTTGACTGGCCTTAAGCTCACTTTATAGCCCAGGCTGGTCTTGAGCTCACAATAATCGTCTTGCCTCAGCCTGCTGAGTGCTGGGATTACTGGCACATACAACTACCCCCAGCTGATCCTGTTTTTTTTGAAAATGAACAAAATCATTACATAAACTAATCAGTCAGCCAAAGGCATCAGTCATAAACTACTTAGTTGCAGTTTTGGAAAGCATCATTTTAAAAAATGTTTTTTGAAAACCTTTTTTTTTGCAGAACTGGGAACTGAACTCATACCCTTGCACTTGCCAGGCAAGCACTTATTCTACTGAGCCATCTCCCCGGCCCCCAAAACCAGATTTATTTATTTGTGACTTTAAAAATTATCTATAGCTCTAAAATGACAGAAAAACCTTTGCTGATGGTTTCACCTTTAGTAATGAGAGAAGAAACAAAATTTCAAAATGCTACACTTACTTTTCTATGCTTAGAGTAGAGTCAGGTCATATTTAAGAAAAATAAATCAATACTCAAAGCAAATTCAGATTAAAAATTAATTTGTATTTTAAAATACACTATTAAAAATTAACTTTTCACTGTATGTTTTATAAGATTTAAAGTTGAAGGAAGGGTGAAAATCTAGCACACAGCAGAATGTTAATTTTCCACTTCCCTTTAAGATAAAAAGTTACTATTTACTAAAAATTATATGCCAAACAAACCTAATGACTTTGAAAATGTTTCGAAAATGTGGGATAAGTACTGAAGAACATAAACAGGATTTTGATTTTTCTTCTGAATACTAGATGTTTTATAAGGCTTGTGGGTTCTTTCAGAAAGTAACAGAAATCTTGATTTCACTGATACATCTTTTAGTTGTTTTAGACAGTATAATGTTCCCAGTGTCAATCATTGCATGATGGTAAATGAAATAGCACCAGAGCAGTATGTTGATAAAATAGTCTAGATAATACCCATGAACAAATCACACATGGTCCAAACAAAAATGTAATAAAATATTTAGTGAAAAGACACATTTCAACTCCCATGTATGGATCTTAAAAATACAAATAAAATTTTATCAATTTGATATTCAGCTTGTAAGTGGCTCGATAAACATCCTTATTTCCTAAAATGATATTGCAGCATCTCTTGGAAAGGTAAATGCAACTTTATACCTTTATTAGTTATGTTAATAGAGGTAAATATTTAAATAGTACACTCATCCCTGGGTCTCTTAAAAAAACTGAAAAGTCTTAGTGTAAGTTTCAAATTTTAATATTTATAAATTTAAAAAATTTTACACGCACTGAACTGTAGCAGTGCTAACATTTTGTGACCATTAAACCACAAACTCACTGTGTAGAGCTTCTTTCTTTGTACAGAGAATCAAATCACAATACCAATATTTGCAATCTGTCATAGTAATTTTGTGGTAGAAGACTACACACCGGGCAGCCTGGGCTCACAGCACACTTGAGGTCAGATCCCCAGCAGGTACATAGTGCAGATGTGGTGCTGAACTCAGACTAGGAATTATCAGCTGTGAGTACACACCACAGTGCCAAACAGCTGACAGGCCTAAGAACCCAGACCAGAGAGGTCTAAGAACAGACTCAGAAGGCCTGGGAACAGGTAGAGAGCCAGCCACATGGTGAAGGAGAGACAGTACTCTCTATGAGCCTCACCGAAGGTGCAATGCACAAGCGACACCTCCAGGTTCATACCAGTGATCACTGCAGAGCTGGCTCAGAATGTTCAGTCTTCACAAAGACTTCCACAAAGAGCGCCATAGGCCAGAAACAGATTTTTTCACTTAAGTCCTCTTTAAAATAGAAATGGATGCCCACTATTAAGCTTCTATCTTTACCTGAACCAAATATATTCTTTGGTTAAATATGTTATGGGTTCCCATTATAATCAATGAATCATATATCACATTATTTACAACTAAATTGAAATGTTTAAAGTTCAACTTGAACCATGGCACTTCTAATCAATTTAAGCTCTGCAATATGCCTAATTTGGATATTTTTAAGTTTTAGAAAAAAATTTAAAGAATTCTTAAATGCAGTTATTCAGAATAGTTACCAAGTCTGAGAATTCACTTACATTTAAAAATAATTTAAAACATTATTATTACTATATCTTCAAATCATCTATGTTGTTTTGTAAAAAATTTTACAGAAACTTTTGTTGAAACCTCATATTCAAAACAGTTTCTTGTTCTCTGGCTTAAAAACGAAACAAAACCCTATGAAATACTGAGGTTCCTTCTGACTTAAAAGGTTAATATTTTATTCAGGAACCGACTGATAATGACAATTACCCGTCAGAAACTATCAACTTAGTAAATTCCAATAACAACCACTTCTAGGGACAGAGGTGGCAAACAGAACACAAGTAAAATTGTAACAGAGAAAAACAGTATTTTCAGGATTGAATCAACATTGTACACCAGGAGACTCAAACTTGAAACTCTTGAACCTGACAGCTAGTTTCCTTCAATATTTGAGAGGGTCACAGACGAATTAACAGAAATGGGAAACTTGGTAATGTCAGAACAATAAAGACTTGATACTGACAAAAGAGAAAAGCCCAACCATTAAGGGGAGAGTTAAACGATGCTGACATAGGGTTAAATTATACAGATACATGGTTTTGAAATGAATTGTGAGAAAATACTAACCATCTCATCTGAACAGAGTAATGTAACATAGTTAGGTACAGAATTTATAAGGTTGAATTCTTAAAATTAGCTTAAAGATTAGCAAAGTTTGTTTACATAAAATGGAAACATTGTACATCAAACGAAAACCCAATGCAGCAATATTAACAGGTTGCTGTCTGCCAAGGCTAAGAGCCAGCAGAGGCATGTAACTGTTGCAAAGGACAATGTCTAAACACTGTCAAGTATGTTTTGCTGTCTAGGCATCATTTATCCAGCAACAGGACCCTAAAATCAAACCAACCCTTTTAACAGATACAAGAACACAGTTATAGTTGCTGTTGCAGTAACATAAACTGAGCATACAAAGTCTTTACTAATTATACATTGGGAAACAAATGGATCAAGGAACATAAAACGAGACATAAATAAAAATGCATGGTAAACCAGAGGTAAAAGAATACTGTGAACAACAGAAAGTTTAAAAATCAAATACCTGACAGTGTCCCTTTAGAATATATAAAAAAGGCCACAAATAATGTTTTTTAAAAATTTTAACCACAGTCAGTTTAAACTGGAAAAACCAATTTCTTGGAATCATGCCAGTGTTCTCAAAATTCACTGGACTAAAGTTAATGAAAAAAAATCTGAAGAGCTAATAACATAGCTATAGACAAAACTGGATAAAATAAAAGAAGACCCAAATAACCAATCAGGCAAACAAAATCATGAACACCCTGAAGAACCTAGATGGTACAATTAAGTGGCACCTCATTACCTACAATGTGGTGACCTCTCCACTTCCCCCTAGTTTGCCACTAATTGACATTCTGGTGATCTCTTCAGCATTATTTGGTCCAATCTGAAGTAAATATTGTCTTCAATAAAACTGGTCTAATAAAATTTCAGTACTGTAATAGGATCTGGGCAGATTTACCAAATACATTTCATGGATATAAACTGTGGAGTATGAATGCCTTACTACCAAGACATTCTTTTCCTACCCATCTTTACTTGTAATAATACCCTAATTATAGCTGTGTCCTGGCCAGTGCACCTCTCCATTCAGTTGTGTGTCTCAGGGGCTGCATTTATCACACACAGAGATACATGTAACTCACAACTGCTGCAAAAGCTTGAGGGAACTATGAAGCATAAAATAGCAGAAACAACAAAAAGTGAGTATTGCTGCCTATCACTTCAAGTTCTTTAAGGAAACAATAGGTCTAAAAAGAAATGGATCAAATAATTTCAAAATATAAAGATATGTATTTCATGAAAAATGATACCGGTGTTCTTCCTCAAAGTCTTTTAAGATGTTTTGGCTCCACCTTTATTTACTGTTACTTGATAAGTGGCCAGATTAAAAGAAGTGATTCTCAACAATCACTCGGCCATAGGCCTAGCATTCACTCCTATCTAACATCACATGCACAGGTTGGATGCTCTAATTTTGTTAACTGTAACTATAAGTATTACAAAGTCCTACAAAGCTTTGTAGAGCATCCTATGTGAAGATGCATAAGCTATGTGCAATCCAATGTAAAAGCTGCACTCAGGATGGTTTAGCAGACAGCCACGCACGTGTGGAAGGAGAATGCTGCCCTCCATAGCTGAGTATCAGACGCACCTGTGCTGGAGTCCCTGCCTCACAGTGCTGTTGACTCTAGCATGGCACTGGACAGTTCTCTATGCCTACACTTTCAATTCTGTAATTTAAGCTGGCACAAAGAAGGGAAGCATGGCAGCAGTATAAAAATCCTGATTAGGAAGATTAAGCTAAAGTAAAGTTTTTAACTTCTGAAATTAAATTTGTGTGGCTCCTGTGACATGAAGATAACTCCTACTTTAACATAATTATTGCCCCTAATGCCCTAATGTGCAATAGTCTGTGTGAATCAGAATTCACATCTTTAAAAATAGTTATTGCTTAAGCAAGCCATTCAGAGTAGATATGGGCTGTATAGCTAGATTGAAATGCATTCATACAGTTAACTACACAGGAATGCGCTTTTCATTTCACTTGTAAACTCACATAAATACATGATCAAAAGGGGCAACAGGTTCATAGCAGCTAACACCCTAAGCCAACTCTGAAGCATCAAGACTTGATAATTTCTTTCAAAAACAAATCTGTCCTTGTTTTTCAATTTCCTTCTTAAAATTAAGGCAATGAAATGGCTACAGTTCCTAAAGTTCTGTTTACGGAACAAAAATATACACGTATTTTCCTCCTCAAGTTCAGGCATCAGAGTATGATTAGAGATGTGTATTAATTACACAAAACTTGCAAAGACCAGGGTGGAGGGGAAAAGGGGGGTGGTGGAGGAAGGCAGACAAGAGGAGAGAAAAGAAGGGAGGGAGGTATAAACTAAAAAGCTAATGGAAACCTGCTGATGATTTTTTTTTGCTAAATAAAAAACTTGATTATTAGGGAGAAAAAAAATAGAAAGCACAAAACCTCTTAAGGTTTTTCAATGTCTCTCGCACTGATTCAAAACTTTCAAGGTGATGGAGGGGAGGGACTTATTAAAATGAAGACTCCAGGGTCCAACAACCAGAGATTCTGACTGAAGGTCTATGACTGGACCCAAGAATCGATTTTTAAAATTAGCTCAATTGACACAGGTGGCCTATGGACAACATTTTGAGAAACACTGCCTGGTACATGACCATCTAATATTTAACAGCAAAAATTCTAAACTTTGGCTAGCCACCTATGTTTTGACCAGAGGGGAAAAGGCACTCAATATGTGCCTGTATCTGTTTGCACATACATGGAACTGCATCTTGAAATTTTCAAATCACTGTTCAAAATCTAGAAGACAACATATATGGCAGATCAAGGCTAACACATCAGAAGCTGATTTCAAAGTTGACCTCTCCTGTTTCATTGCATTGTGTCAAAGTTTGAGGCTCTCCAAAATCCAAAATGGCCAAATGAACTGAGGAACAGGACAAGACTCAAGTCAACTTTCAGCAATTCAGTGCACTCTGCAGAAAGGATCTAAATTAAGCACACAGTTTGTTGTTTATTTCACACAAAGGAGACCACCAACATTAGCCATAAATTCTTCTAAACTTTTTAGGAAGGCCATCTTTTGCTTCCGATCCAGCGTGGGAGGAGTGCTGCTTGCGGTGAGTTTGTTGAAGGCATCTGCTAATCTCTGGTAAATGACTGGGTCTTGCTGACTTGACAGTAATGTTTCCACCAGCTCGGAATATTCAGCCTGCAGAGGAGACAAGGTGCCTGTAAGACTGTATTTCACAAGTGTTACTGCAGGGCTCTAAGAGGCAGAGGCTGACAATCTTTTTCTATTTACTAGCTATCTGAGGTAATCTCATCTTTTTTGTAGACTAATTCACACTGCTAGGAAATAGATACTATTTTTTTTTTTTTTAATCACCAGATTATTATATAGGAGTACCCAGCCAGAGTATTCATAGTGCAAAAAGCTGTTGGTCCCCCACATGACAGAACAATCATCCTTCACATCCTGCAAAAGAACAGGATGAAAATTCTTTCATGTCAGCTCATACTGATTTTGTTAGGTTCCCCCCCGGCAGAACTGGGGGCTGAACTCAGGCCCTTGCACTTGCCAGGGAAGCACTTATTCCACTGAGCCATCTTCCCTGCCCCTGATTTTGCTAGTTTTTACTACAGCATTATAATTAAGACATTAAATTATAAATTTATGTGGTATAATTAGAAATTAAATTACAAAATAATACAAATACTTTTAAGATGTGATGTGCCAACAAAGTGTAAATTTTTATAATGTCTTGGGGCCGGGGAGATAGCTCAGTGGAATAAGCACTTGCCTGGCAAGAGCAAGGGCCTGAGTTCAATCCCCAGTTCCACCAAAAAAAAAAAAAAAAAAAAAAAAGGAAAAAAAAAATCTCACTATATAACTTGGGTGGGTCTTGAGATTGATATATCCTCAATCTGATCCTCCAGCTTTGACTTGCTGAGTGCTGGGACTACAAACATCTGCCACTGTGTCTAGCTGCATTATACATATTTATTTTGCATTTTATATATACCCTAAGTTGGTGACATGACTTGGAATAGTTCTCCAGAGATCTGAGAGACACCTTGTTATCCATTACCCCATTCTGAGGACAGCAATATCTGGGAGGAGGGGAACAGAGGAAGGGTTTTTCAAGCTTCCAAAGAGTGGAGGCAGAGCAAGCACTTTGAGAGTTCCACACCAGCACCATCCAGTGACTCTTGGAGAAAAGTGGGAAAAAGACTTCTAGATATAATGGCAGTGATACATGTAGGGACAAGAAACACTGTGTTCCTCCTAAGCAACAAGACATCAAATGACAGAGAAAGGCCACTAATTACCACACCTACAGAGTAGGTGCTAGAGTTGAATTCAAGAATGAAATTTCCAAGGGCTGGGGAGATAGCTCAGTAGAATACATGCTTGCCTGGCAGACTCAAGGTCCTGAGTTCAATCCCCAGTACCGGAAGAAAAAGAAAAAAAGAAAGAAAACTCGGAGCACAAAGGTCAAAGAGGTTGAGAGGAAGCAGGGCTTTAAATATATGAATTGCCTCAACTCCTGCCATATTTAGAATGGGAAATAAAATGCAAAGCTTCTCTAGCCAATCATCTGGCCTTCTTAGAAAGCACATATAAGCATGGGATGGGAAGACAGGAAACTGAGGCAGCACATGATCCAATATGGGTCTTTGTATACACTAGATGGACAGAAAAATGAAGGTAAGCTACCATAACTTCACTTTTGTCACATTAACCTTGTATTGGTGACATTTCAGAATTGTAAAGTTCAGCAAAACAAAAGGCTGTTTTCTATAATATTACACAAAATAATGTGATGTTCTTTATGCTTTCCAAAGGACAACTCCTCCAGTCTTACTCATCTTGTCTCCTTTAAAAAGTCTAAGTTTCTCAAAGGCAGGAACCACAAATTCATTACTCACTGATGTCTGCACTCCTGGATCCTAGCACAGTTGTCTAAGGACAAGCTTTGGGGTGGTAGCTCCTGCAAAGGATGGTTGGTAACAGAGAAGAAGGGAAAATGAACACTTTTCAGATGATGAACAGTTAGATAAACATGGAATAAGAGCCAGGAATTAATAAAGAAGCTAAAAACTACTGCCTCACTGAGTCAGAGCTCCATTAAGAACTGTGGTGGGGACAACCCATCATCTCTCTGAGCAGCACGGAAGGATGGAGAGAAGGGTGTCCAGTACCTGGTGCAAACACACCAACGTGTAGAAAGCTTCGCCCGCTGCAGTGGTCATCTCTGTGTTGTGCTTTTGCAAAACCAGCATATCAAAAACCAGCTGAAATTAAATAATAAGAACTTTAAATATATAATACGGTTAGAAAAATCCCCCAGCCTCTTCCCAGTCCAAAAAAGAAAAAAGAGGAAATAGTTATATACTCTATTGAATCAACTGAAAATCAAACAAAATATTTTTTTAAAAAAAATTAAGATAACTTCCAGATGTTGTCATCCATTGTGGTATCTGAATAAAAAATTACCAAATTCCTCATTATACTTACCACATCAATTTTTAAGAACAGAAAATAAACCTGGGTGAGAATAATCTGGCCCTGAAGAACTGATCTCCAGAAGACACACAGTGAACTGAAACTATTTCTTCCTCTCTAGACAAATGTAAACATTTCTTCATTTGAATCAAGAATTATGTGTACTGACTGTACTCACCAAAAGCAGATGATTTTCTGACCTGCCAACCCCAAATATCTTACCTTAAGAAAGTGCCGAGTTGCTAGAAAAAGTGGTGAATCTGTTTCTTGTGCTTTTGCACACTGTTCCGCTAACGGTGTCAAAGCCTCCAGGCAAAGCTGGCAAACCTCTGAGCTCATTCTGATCATAAAGGTCAAAGAACAAACTATACTGGATATACTATATATTGGGCTTACAAAAGATTAAAAAAAAAAAACCAAAACATAGTACTAAATGCACAACTCGTTCTAGCTAGCATGTAATATACTATAATGGGTTGTGAAGATTTTCAGTGTTTTCAGATAATCTATAAAACCTAAAAGAGTTTGAGACTGGTCATGTTTAGCTTGTTTCTACCTACTGCATTTTTCTAAAATAAGACCTATCAGAAAATAAGCCCTAATAGGAATTTTTTTAAGAATATACATGATACAACTCCTTCCCGAAAACAAGTCCAATTAAGATCAGCAGCCAGATGGATATATTTAGGACATTTGTTGTAACACATGATGGACGAAATGACTATCAATATAAAATTAAACATAAATAAATGACATTATTGCTAGTAATACTTCAAATAGATGATGATATTAATTTTAATTAAGTATTTGTAAATACCCAAGCAGGCACTTTGGGATGAGAGGTAAATGCCTATGTAAACAGACGAACTCAAGACATAACCAAATAACCATTTGGAGTATAAACATAATGTACAAATAATGTGTGCACTTGATAATGAACAGGCATGGTGTGTCTAACATCAGTCTTCGTAAGTCAGTAGGTCATGTGCTGTAACACAATATTTCATGCACTTGTGGGAAATACAGAAGCACTTTGTGAATCTTGGTGCCTGCAAGTCTTTGTTGCTTTTGTGTGGATCATCGTTACTGTTTTTCTTCTGTACTGGGAATTGAACCCAGGACCTTGAGCTTGCCAGGCAGGTATTGTGCCACTGAGGTATATTCCTCAACTTGGACCATCATTCCTGTTATCATTGTTGTCACTGCTCCTGTCTTGTGAGTCTTCAATGAACACTTGCTTGAATGGAAACTCCGTGAAGCCGGCCTGCAAGCGGCATGATTTGGGTGAAGAATTCATGGGCTAAAATCACTGACTCGGTGTTGCACACAGACAAGGAGCGCCCAGGTAAGGAGAGCTTTACTGCTGGACAGGACAGGCTGGGGCCAAACGTTTTGTACGAAATGGAGTGGCAAGACATTCAGGCCTGAATTCAGGGTTTAGAGAGTTATGATGATGTTCCAGAAGAAGATGACATGAGTGTATCTGAATAAACAGAGTTTTGTACATGAATATAGATTGCTGTACATTAAAAAATAAGGCATCTTCTGAAAATAAGCCCTATTGCCTCTTCTGGAGCAAAAATTAATATACAACCAAGTCTTATTTTCAGGGAAATACGGTGCTATGTACACAGCTGAAAAGTGACCATATTAGCTATTAAGCTAACCAGAGACCTAATAATACTAGGTGATATTGCAAATTGGGGCCATAAAAAAGGAGTAACTGTGGGGTAGGAGTAAAATGCATTAGGCATCTATGGAAAGGGGATAGTATGAAGCAAATTAACAAAAGAAAATACAAATTTAAAATATTTCTAGTAAGACCCTCCACCCCCAACATAATGTTCATTTTAAAGGATATGATGTCATTCCTAGTTCCAGAGAGTACATCAGACTTTTAAACAGATCCTCAGGAAGCTGTGGTATTTTTTCAGGAAATATTTCACAGATAAATGTGATTAATTTGTAGTACTGGTTACACAGGGTTGGAAACTGAAAAAGAAATATTAAATATTTATAAGCTCAACTGTACCTAATTTTTATTTTCATTAATGCTATAAAGTAACCAACAAGCTTGTAATATAACAACTTCTTTAAAAAACATGCAGACCTAAATAGTTATAAAAATACTTTAGTAACTATTATAAAAAGTGATATACAGTAGAACTAATTATTATTTTGATCATTAATAAAAGCTACAGTCAGTTTCATATACTCTGTATTACACTAAACAGTAAATAAAACAAATTCAAAATTAATAAATGACCTGGGAATAAAGTCCTTCTATAAATGTGTTTATTTCCAGTGAAATATTTGGAAAAGTGGAAGTAATACAACTATTATGCATTAGAGTCTTAAATCCTTATACTTCTACTATTTTCTATTTAGACAGTTCTGGGGAATAAGGAAAAGGTAGATAATCTAGTCTATATTTGAGAAAATATACATCTAAATACTTGTTACTTGCTCAAACAAACCAACCCTGAAAGTTAACTACTAGCACCCAGAGCTCGTTGCACAGCGTCACCTTCTGGTTGCCACACAAGCACGGGGCCACCGGATGTTGGAATCATTTCTGCAATGAGGTGTTTCTCACAGAGGGAGCACATGGGGAGAGCCTGCTGTGCAGGGGCCTTGTCTCCCAAGCATTCCCATCTCTCCTTTCTTCCTACTGCCTCCTCCCCTTGCTCACTCGTGTGCACACACCCCTTTTCCCTTTTCCTTCTTACCATCCCAAGACAATCACAGTAAGAAATTATCCATCGGCTACAGTGCTTAAAGAAAGAAAAGGCAGCTGTACTAACCCCCAACCCTCAACCCAGTGGCCCCTCGCTTAGCGTGGAGGTTACATTTCAGACACTCCCGCAATAAGTAGCGAAAATCAGTAGCAACGTTATGCTGTATTTACTTTAATATTTATATATATTTTAAGGCTTTATAAATCCTTTCCACACTCTTACAAACTTCTCCCACACTTTTAAAAACACTTCTAATGTTAACCATTTTGTAAACTCTCAAACCTACATAATTTTTTTTTCTTTTTTGAGGAACCAGGGATTGAATTTAGGACCTTGCGTTTGCCAGGGAAGCGCTTATTCCACTGAGCCATCTCCCCGGCCCCCAAACCTACATAATTTTAACAACATACTGTACAGTACTTCAAAAACCCCACGATAAAGGGAAAACTCTGCAATAATTTAATTAATATTTTTACTTTATTTTTAAAATATATTTGGTACAGGGTCTCACTACACAGCTCGCACTGGTAGTGATCCTCCCGTTATGAGCTTCCCCAGTGCTGGGATTACAAGGCATGCGCCACCATTCCTAGACTCTGTCTCCAGCTCAGCACTTCCCGGGGGCGGGGCCAGTGCAGCACGCGGGACTGGGACTCAAACCCTGGTCCCTGCACTTGCCAAAACAGGTGCTTAAGAGCCGGGGAGATGGCTCAGTGGAATAAGCGCTTCCCTGGCAAGTGCTAGGGCCTGAGTTCAATCCCCGGTTCTGA